ACTCTCTAAGTGGTTCTATTCCATTGTCCATTAGAAAGCTGAATTTTTTGCTCACTTTTGTCATCTCCAATAATCATTTGACTGGCAAAATTCCTGACGTCTGGAATGACATACCAGATGTGTATGTTATAGACATGTCAAACAACAGTTTATCTGGGCAGATACCAAACTCTTTGGCTTCTCTGAGGGCACTCAAGTTCTTAAAGTTGAGCATGAATAATCTTTCTGGGGAGCTCTCACCTGCCTTGCAGAATTGTACAGTCATGGAAACCCTCGACCTGGGAGAGAATAAGTTTTCAGGAAATGTTCCAGCATGGATAGGAGAAAAGATGCCATCTTTGTTGGTTCTAAGTCTCAGATCAAACTTGTTCACTGGGTATATTCCGACACAACTGTGTGATCTTTCCTCTCTGCATATACTGGACCTTGCAGAAAACAATTTGTCAGGACCTGTTCCTAATTGTATTGGCAATTTGAGTGGAATGAACTCCATTATTACTAGTATGCGATATGAGGGGCAACTGTGGGTGGTGGCAAAAGGAAGAGATATGTTTTATGACCAAATCCTTTATCTTGTGAATAGCATAGACCTTGCAAGTAATAACCTTTCTGGAGATATGCCTGAGGGGTTAACAAATCTTTCAAGGTTGGGCACTTTGAACTTGTCTATGAACCATCTCACAGGAAAGATACCAGCCAGCATTGGAAGCTTGCAGGGGCTTGAGACTCTTGACCTCTCAAGAAACCAGCTTTCTGGCACAATCCCTCCAAGCATGGCCTCCATAACTGCATTGAATCACTTGAACCTTTCACACAACCACCTTTCAGGTCCAATTCCAACAACCAACCAGTTCCAGACCTTCATTGATCCATCCATTTATGAAGATAATGTTGGACTTTGTGGCCCACCATTGCCAACCGAGTGCAGCACTGATGACGAATCCTCGTTACATCTTCCTGGTGGAGGAAAAACAAAAAAAGGAGAAGCAAATGACAATCAAAAGCTTGGGTTTTATGTCAGTTTGGCGCTGGGATTTGTTGTAGGATTTTGGGGAGTATGTGGAACTCTGGTAATAAAGAATTCCTGGAGGCATGCCTATTTTAAGTTCTTTGATGATATGAAAGAAAGAGTGCTTCTGTTTGTATCACTGAAGTTAGCTCGCCACCA